CAGGCAGCCTTCGAGAGGAGCATCTTCAGCAAGACCCACCGGGGTGGTGGTGAGTGGGGGTCCCACTTGGGAGCTTTTGCAATTGGGAGGGGACAGGGACTTGCAGCGGCGTCCCCTGTGGCACATCCTGGGGTCACCAACACCATCCCTGTCCCCACGCTGCGCAGATGAGGTCGCCTGTCTGGATGGACTCACCGTGGTCTACAGGAGCAGCGTCGACCTCTTCTTCTATGTGGTGGGGGGCTGCCAGGAGAACGAGGTGGGTGAGGGGGGGACACAACCCCGGGGACCCCCCAATGGCCTCACTGATGCCCCCATTGTCCTGCAGCTGATGCTGTCGGCCGTGCTCACCTGTCTCCTCGACACCCTCAGCCACCTCCTGCGGTGAGTGGGGCCCCAAACCCTGTGCCTCAGGTGGGGAAACTGAGGCAGGGCACAGGGCAGCAGCTCACCCCAGGGGACACCATGAGCTGGTGCAAAACCCCCATCCCCTAAAGCCCCAGGTGGGATGGGGCCAGCTCTGCTTTGGGATGGCAGGGATCCTGGTCCCAGCACCTTGCACAGGACCCCAAGCCATGACTGGGGGCAATGACATCTCCCCTCCCTCGCCTGCAGGAAGGAGGTGGAGAAGCGCTGGCTGCTGGAAAACATGGAGGGGACATTCCTGGTGGTGGATGAGATCGTGGACAGGGGGTGAGGTCCTGCTGGGGGAATAGAGGGGGAGAAGCAGCCCACAGCACTGGGGTTGCAGAGACAGGGGGTGGCAGCATCACCCTGGGTGCTGAGAAGGGGCCGACTCCATCTCAGGGTGCTGAGGGGGATCTGAGCACCCCACTTTGGCACCATCGCAGCAGCTCTTTCTCAAGCCTTCAGCAGGGCTTCGCACAGGGAGGGAAACTGAGGCAGGGGGTGATGGTGGTGGTGTCTGGTGGGGTGCAGCTGGGATCAGAAGGGAGCTGTAGCGGGGGGATCCCGGTGGGACGGTGCCAGCACCACGTTGCTCCGCAGGGTGATCCTGGAGAGCGACTCCCAGCAAGTGATCCAGCGGCTGAGCCTGCGGGTGAGTACGGCTGGCCCGGGCCCTGGCCTTCCTCCACCCTCCTCTACCTCTGCCCACCCTCCTCGGCCTCTCTCCCCCACCAGGCCCCAGAGCCAGCACCATACGGCTTCGTCCTCTTCGATTACCTGGCAGGCAGCTCGGAGCGGAGGGACACGGGGGACACCAGCGGCTGCAAATAGGCAACACCAAAGATGTACAAACCCTTCCCTGTGTCGTGGGTCTGGCAGAGATTGGGGTTGGGGTCTGGCTGGGATGGGCAGGGTCTTGAGTTGGGGTCTGGCCACTGCCAGTAAGCTCTCAACTGGAGCGGCCTCATGGGTGATGGCACCAAGCAGGATGGATGCCAAGGGGATGCTCCACCCCATGGGTGCCCTTCACCCCCATCTTGTAAAGCACCCTCATCCCAGGGGTCTCACACCAGGTCCTGCAGCCCCTCAGGGAGCACATCCCCACTGGTGTCACTGCTCCAGGGTCCCCGCACACAGGGACTGAATACAAAGTTGGGACCCCAGCACTGGGGAATGCAGGCAGCAGACACACAGACCCTCCCCAGCTCCCACCCCAGCCTGGATCCCCCCACAGCTCCTCCCCAGCCAAGCTGCCTCCAGAAGCTGCTCACTAGGTCTTGTATCCGCCCCCAGCATTAATAATATTGAGGAAAGAATTAAGCGCTAATGAAGGAGAATTGATTGACCATTCCTAGCGGCACCCAGCCACAAATAAAGTTTTCCTCCTTGATTTGGTGTCCTCCATCCATCATCCATCAGGTGGTGGGTCCCCATGGGTGCGTCACCAGTTGGGGCCGAGCTCTGGGGGCTCAGCTGGGGCCACTGCTGAGT